AGAGAGAGAGAGAGAGAGAGAGAGAGAGAGAGAGAGTAAGAAGGGAGAAAGAGAATAAAAGAGAAAAGAAAAAGGAGAAGGAGACAGGCAGCGGAGGAGAGGAGAGAAAGGGGAGGAAGAGGTGGAGCTTGGTACGAGGACGTTGGAGAACGGCAGTTAGATATAGTTGGTGGCGTCGCCGTCGGACGTCCTCGGGCGACGGCGCCACCGTCGTCCTCGTGCAGGCGTCTCTCGGCTAAAGTAGGTTAGGTCGATGAGACCACGACGATGCCGCCACCGCGGTTTCTGCGCAGCGGTCTCGATTCTTCGGCTGCTCCCTGCACCCGTCTTCCTTCCTCCTAGAGCGAACGATGATTCCGCGAATAGTCACTCGAAGTTATCTACGGGCCGCTCATCGATTTTCATAGTTCTTCGCCGGCTTCCCGGAACGAACGTCTTTGCAAAAAATCGTAAGAAGAGTCTACGACCACGCGTGCATTCGTGGTTAACAGGGAAGGGAGTGTTTATAATTGAATTTGAGTAACGATTCAGTATAATTCGTTGATTAGATAATGATTCGATATGTTTTATTCGAGCTTGAACGAGCTTGAAGAGGAGTTCATTTGTTCATTTAAACATTATATATAAGAAATTTACAGAAAATATATTTTCGAATATGTTATATTATAAATGAACTCTCGTATAAATTGAACGAAATTTAATGATAATTCAGATTGCATATATAATCAGATATATTAGTGATTAGTAATGAAATTTATATAAATGAAGTTTAAGAATATAGTTTCTCAATTTTTTTATAATGTTTCAATTGTAGATATCAAATTCAATAAATATTAAGATATACCGATGATTAAGAAGATATTGATTAAGTAGAGAGTTTGAAAGTTAAAGTTGAAGATTTTTAAAGATTCTTTGATTTTGATGGAATGAAAATATGAAAAAGAGAGGTTGAAGAGTTTTTATTGTATAATAACATAGGAATTTTCGTATCGTAAAACAGTACACTATATTAAAGCTGAAATATGTATAAGTATCGAATAAAGTTTCTTAAATGATTAATGATTACTTTCTTCTCTTAAAAATCGGAATACCATTCCTTTGAACGTTTTTGTGCTATTATATAAAAACAGAAACAAATTCTCAAAAATGAAATTATATTAAAGAATTTTATAAAAATTAATTCGCAAATAACGATGACCAACAAAAGATTAGATAAAATTAAATTCTTTTTTACTTAAAATAAGTAGAATTTTTCGGATAATTACCAATGTGGATCGATCGATCTTTTATCTATTTCCCTTAGATAATTCCTTATTCGCAGAATCACATCTCATAGCGCCCATTCCCAGGATTTTAGCGCATTTTAATATTTGATCAGAAACGACGGAAATTGGTGAAACGAAATTGGATAGTTTTCGAGTAGTTTCCCAGGCGAATCGTCAATAATAGTTAGTTCGAGTTACAAGCTTATTGGTTTTTCTATTTCGCTTCTATTTGCTTCGTTTCGCACGCTTCAAAGTCTGTCGAGGATCGCGATATTATCTCTTTGTTGGTCTTTCCAAAGATTTTACGCATTTTTATAAGTTATTTTTTCAATATTTATCTGTAAAACAATTTACTTAATTACAAATGTTGGTAATATTTATATAAATTCATGTTATCTAGACTAGTTTTACCAGTTATCTTAGAATACTAATGATTGTATGCATATAGTCACTTATAACGCTACGGAATCGATTTTCTTTTTTCCCGCCATCTAGTTCCTGCTCGTTCGAGGAAGGACGATATAAAAATAGCTTCAACATTCTCTTATTTATTTAATTAACAATTTCTACTGCATTATAATTCAATAACTATTATATTAAAAAAAACGATATCTATCTATTATAAATTCATCGAAACTTTTTAACGTTACGAAAAAAAAACTTTGGGGATTTACTTTCAAATTTCCCGCCAATACTATCACTGTCGCATTAATTTGCGAGAGAACGACTTTTTTTTTATTTTTCTCGATTTACGAAATATTTTCCAAATAATTATTACTCACTGTGTAATAAAAAAAAAACCGTCATCAGAGCTTGAAGAAGCAAGCATATCGTTCGAGTGTAAAAGTGAAGGTTATCATGTAGGCCACGTGACGTCATATCGCGGTCTTTTAATAAAATGGCCGCCGTCCGAGCTCGACATCAGGTCATCGTTTACAAGAAAAATTTTTCATGATCGCGTTCTATCGCATGGCTTGGTCAATTCGACAAACGACGAGCTATCGTCTATCAAATATTAATAAATTTTATGTATATATATATTATAATATATATCATACACAGTATTGACAGGATAAATAAATTTCTAACGTTATAGATTTTTCGATTTTATGAAATACAAAAATAATAATATTTACTATCGAAATAAATCATGCGATTTATAATAATTGACTTTAATGATGGTTAGGTCATTTTTAATCGGAGCATCGAATGTTTAAATGTATAAGCGATAAAGCAACGAGACTAACGAGACGAGTGTATTCGTGTGGATAAGAATTGACCCAGACGATGTTCCTGGATTAATATCGTTTCGAAAATATCGAACAACAGTTTCATGTGCGAGAATATACAACGATAAAACTATTGATAATCCCATAAGTAAGTAACAACTGAATGATAAATTTGCTATTCCACGCAGAAACCCTTGCGGATTGCGTATATTAATTGATATTTACCTCCTCGTAATTTCGGTTGTTCCGTTTCTCTTACGAACCGTTTTATTGTATGAGAAAGTTTTCGCGATTCTAAACGCATCGTAGTAAACGTAGCAATGAGAGATCTGCATTATACAAGATGTTTTAATTATACAAAGATGTATAATGTTTCCGACAAAATATATATATATATTTTTTTCTTTGATCCTTAAGAATCATCGTGATTTTTCTCACAAAAA